GAAAATGCAGCAACTGAAACACTTCAAAGTCTGTCTGCATAAGCTAATCTCTCGCACAACCCTGTGCAGTCACGTCACCGGTCCCACGAGGTTCAGAACATCGAATATGCTGTTGCCACTAAATCTACTTCTTAACAGAGAAGAGTTACGGTCGATGGAACAGATTCATGCAGTCCATTGGGTCGAATTAATCACGTGATCCGACTGTTCGATTACATTCACCACGCCGGGAATTTCAAGCTAGAGCCTGAATAAATACATTCTATTATGCCACTGTTTCTCCAAATGTGGTCCACGGTCCCCTTGGGGATCCGCGGGATAATTTCAGGGTGTCCGTGGTGTGATGGAAGGGTCATACCAGAGTGAACAGCTAGGCCAACCGAGCGAGCCAGACAACCAATGGGAGACGGGTTAAACCGATTTGATTGCTGGACTTGGCTTGGCAGACATTCATGAGAATGACTAGTTTATTTAACTGAGTCATAAGGGAAAATTCATCGCCTCAGAAGTGTCGTTAGTTATGGACTTAAATGTACAAGTAGTATTGCGGAGTTTGGGTCGCCATGCATGTTGTAATTTCCACTGAGTTGACCTTGCCAAACAAATGCTTGTCCCGGAAGGACTGCTTTTTGAAAGCAGGGATTCAGAGAAGACCAAGATGAACCGCACCGATGGCGCTTGGATGCTGTTTGGATCAATAGAGTCAATTCATATGCCTGTCCCATTGAACATGGATGAACGTGACTTGGCGAATAAGTGGCGTTTATGGAGGAGCAAGTGGATTGGTTTCTAAACCCTGGTATTTTGGATGAACAACCGATGGTGCATCGCTAGGCCAAGTTTGGAAACGCAACCGGGGATAACGTGCGCAGTGAGAGATATTGCATCAAGACAAAGGGGCAGATCCTAATAATTTATAGACGGTTATTGAGAAATTCAGTGAAATTTGCAAAGCCAAACCAAGGACAAATCCCAGCGCTATCTTTTATTTTCGTAAAAGAGAGGCCTCCAACCATTCCGTCGAGGAATAAATCAATGAGTTGAAGATTTTTCTCCGACCGGGCAATTTATGCAAACGAATGGGTGACAGTCTCATGTGTAATCGGATCGTTCTAGTAATCAATGAAGAAAGCACGATAAAACGGCTTTTGTGACAACGCTACATCGCAATAGAAGATCATAGATGTCTGCAACAGTGAGTCCTAGAATACATATAAATACCAACAAACACAACTCGCAGCGGATGCATATTTGTGTGCCGTTGCTGGAGGCAGAACCGCAAAGCTTACTGACGTGAGACAGGATATCTACAAATTTTTTGCAGCGCGACACAAGCTCCCGCGAAAATTGTCCGGCTTGGGGGCATAAATGCGCCAAATGTAGAAAAGAACCACTTTGCTCGTAGATGCCCATCAACCGATGCGAGTGAGTACATTCGTGACAATTCAACCACAGACGTAGAACATGTAGTTGTCAACATGCTCGGAGGGTAAGCAGCAATGTACCAACGCATTTTTTGATCCAAAGCAATGTCGTACGATTCCAGTTAGACATGAGTGCTACTGTCAACATTCTACCTAGGAAGCACTAGGTTTTGGTGCGCACCCGATCCGATCAAAATTGCATACGCATGTGGAATGGTTCCGAACTACTTCCGAAACTCTCAACTACAATCGAAGTGGTTAACCCAACGGAAGAAGCCACTCATCGACCGGAGTTTGTAATCATGGATGAGGAACACGCGCAGATTCTCGGCAATGACTCGATCCAGTTGCTGCTTTGTTGTTTGTAATCCTCATCATTCGATGCATGATTGCCAGGGAAAAACTGATATAAGTGACAAGTATGCATCTGTGTTTATCCTTAGATACTTTTATACGACCGACTGCGATACCGGTTACGTAAGCTCCATTTAAACTGCATCACATGTTCCACGCTGAGCTGAGCAAATTAGTGAGAAACGTTGTGATTGCGAACGTCGACGAGCCAACTGAACGGATTAGTCAGGTCGCAATCATTGCAAAGAAGACGGAGAGCCGCGCTTGTATCGACCCGAAACCTTTGAATGAAGTCCTGTGTAGAGAGCATTATGCGCTACCGAACTTTAAAGATATTTTGCAGCGCTTGGCCAAAGATACTTTTACATAGATGGACCTCTCTTCCGAATTCAGGCACTTGTTTCTTGATGAAAAAACCACATTCCTTACTTCCTTTGCAACGCCGTTCAAACATTACCGTTGCGTACGTTTACCGTTTGGTTTGAAGGTTTCACATGAAATTTTTCCAAACAGAATGCTACAAGCATTAGACGAATTAGATGATATAACACTTGTGGTAGGCTAGGTTTTGGTCTACGGCTCAACGGAAGAAGAGCTTGATGTTAATCACCTCTGTTTCTTGCATCGTTATGTGCAAAAGAATATCAAATTTAAACGTGAGAAATCTGGTTTACGTAAAACGAGGTGCTTATCTATGAGCATGTGCAAATAACACAAGGGTGAGGGTCGATGCAGGAAAAATTTAAGGAGATTCGATAGTTGATACCTCATGACAACGAGAAGGGATACCATCTCTTAAACAGCATGGCGAAGTACTTGAGCCTTTTATGCCAAGACTTGCTGATATCATAACGCCGATCAATAAGTGGAGTCGTGGAAAAGCACAGGAAACCGCGTTTGAAACTAATAAGTAACACCAGCGTTGCGCCTCTACTAGTATATTACGATCCAACGCAACCTTTGAAGGTTCAGTAAGACAGTAGTCAAGAGGGAATAGGTGCTGTTCTCATACAAAATAGAAAACTTTATATTACCGCAGTCGAGCACTCAAAGTGACCGAACAGCACTATGCCCCGATTGAGAAGGAGATGCTTGCGGTGATGTATGCTATGGAGGTTTTCAACGATTATACCTTCGGAAGAAAGACAACTATTGATACCGACCATAAAAGACGTTTTGAAATCCAGTAAAACGCTGTATACCCTATATCTTCATTTTCAGTGTATGCCTATCCATCATCGTAAGTACGCGGTAGATATTATGTCCACGTCTGTTGCAAGTATATTCATCGCGGATACGCTGTCAATGCCTCATGTATCATTAGCCGAGCAAAATGCCGATTTGGTCAAAAGAGTAAACCTAGTACGGCATCTATCAGTGATGGTAGTCGGAATGAACCAAAGCGCCACATGGATATAAATGCAATTATTGCAGCTTTGGGTGTGGTTTCACCTTGTGAAGAATGGACTACGGTCTAGCCAGCGCCTTGTATACCCGTGGTGCGCATGATTTCTCAATTAAACTGGAATGCTTCTGTTCTGCTGGTTGCAGGAGTGTGGCCGGCTCCGTTGAAGCAACGTGGTTCACATTCGCATATTTCCCGGTTTTAATCCTTCGGGTTTACACTGGATACGAGGTGAGTGTGTGTGGAACTGTGAGTGTTGCAGCGCAAGGCACACATGGAGCTTCTGTAGGCGCTTGCTTCCTGCGGCTGTCCCCGTGGAGGCCCCAGTGACAGGCAAATCCGGACACCGATGCCACCAATCCATATGTATATACGTGCTTCCCATGCTGGCACTGATGTTGCATACACCATGCTTCCTCTCCGCAGTTGGGGCACACCAGTTTGCCATTTAACATTAAGTTGATTACGTAGGTTTCATATATTTCATTTACATCGAAGTGCTTAGTACTCTGTCCGCCGCGAATGCTACTGCGGTCTCCTTTTATGCCTAGTCGCCACATATTCTTGGCCCAGCGTATTCTTGTGCTTAAGTTGCTCTCAATAGCCGAGAATGGTGCGGAATAACAGAAGTCAGACTCATTGTTTAGTGAGTCGTGACAGTTGTATGGACCAAATTAAATTAGGCCAAGTTGCCTAGACCCAAAACAACGGCAGTTAGTGAGCCAGACTTAACGCAGGTGTTGTTTGACCTTGTCAGTAAATAGTCGTACATTACGCAGTTATTATTTGATTCGCATATGCTTATAACATGAAAAGTTTGGCTGTTATTCTCCCCTCTGAACAGAAGCCATACACGTTCGATTATTAAGGTCCATGAGGATCAATATTCTAACTGTGAACGCACATGATTAAAGTGCATTTGTGCTGACATTCCGCATTTTGCCTACGCTGAGCCTCACGACAGCCTTAATAACCACACGCCTGATTAAAATTTACCATGCACTTGGTGAATTTTCCTCATTAGGTTCCAATATCTGCACGGTGACCGGTGCTCAAAAGCATGGGAACAGCTTCGTCCCTCCTGTACTACAAAGACGTTACTTTGCAGTCGCATTAACCGGGGTTTCACACAGTCCACGTTGACCTAGTGACAGACCTGAGTGCGAACCGTACTGCTAGTGATCTGTTGGCTGGTTGTGTAAGACACTAACGGTCCTCGGTGTAATTCGCAGCAGGGGACCGGGGATATGCGCACCACTGAAGAGCCCTAATAGCTCGAAACGATCATCTGGTGCTTTGCCGGATTGGTACTTCACCTTCCTGGCTTATAAGTTAATTGCGAGGAATCAAATAAAATCGTACCTAAATCCGTCTAATCATTGGTACCTCAACGTTTGATGTAATTATAAACATAGGTAATTACCTTCTCTTCATGTTAAATTCTTCTACTAGCAGATGAAAAATTAGCTGCAGCTTCAAAATCATCCATGAGGCGATCGCAACCAGGAAAATGATACAAACCTTAGCCGCTAAGTAAACGCGATGAAACTTAATACGGTCGAAAAAGGCAGTCATTGAACTTAAAATGTAAGGGAAATTAAAGTTAACGTTATTAGACAACCTGGACTTACGAAAAATATCAACACATTAGTGAAGAGTAGCAAAAGCGTTTATCATTCGGCGCAAGCAAGTGGCAGATACGGGATGGATAAAAGAAGTTCGATGTTCGTCTTGAGCACGTACAATTGTTACAGACGGCGCTGCAAGCGCATTTGACTCAGCTGACATCTTGCAGAGCGTTTGTTAGTGGTTTTAACTCAGGGACCTGCAATCAGAAATCGAACGCATTGGTATCGTAATGAACAACAGCACAATGAGACGGAAACTACAGACTTCCTGCTGCACTGTACTTACTGTTTGCTATGTTACTAACGAGTTAATCCCTGTTTGAAGGTAAGAATAGGTGAAGTTGGTTACGTTGCTGTTACGTTCACTAAACAGTGACGGTGATTTCCTATGCTCATCATTTCTACTATCATTAGCACACTAAGTAATATCGCGCTCAAGATAATGGGCGCGCAAACGGGATGTTGAGCATGGGCTATAATCTGATTAGCATATGTTACGATGCACTCAGTAGGCTACTAGAACAACACTTCTGAGGTATTCTCAGACTACCCTTGCTTAGAACACGAAGACATAATAGAAGTACTTACGGAAAATGATGTTTTTGGCGTGTGGTACACGCACTTGATTGTGGCGTACTTTTTCGGGACAGCGGGCCACTGTAGAAAGAAAAGCAGTGATGTTCAGCGTTTGAAACAGAAAATGATACATACATCTTCCATATCAGGCCCCCAAGACTCAACAAGTAGCACTGCTGACTGTATTGTGATTGTGTCAGTGGTTGTATTGGTATCACCTGACTGCAGTGGTTTCCGAATGACTTTGAAGAACATTTATTTCATCGTACATTAAGATGGAATTACCAAGCAGTTCTTTCTTGCTACGTGATTTTATGTTCCCTACGTGTGGAAAGACTGAAATATTGGCAGACGAGGTTCGTACATCAAAACGCATATAATTGCTCGAAGGGTTGGTCAGGTAGATACTGGAAGAAAACGGTAAATCGAAAGAACCTAGAATTATAATTGGTCCAGAATGTGTGAGTACCTTCAAACACAAGCTCGTGGTTCGGTTCCAAAGCAAGTTCTCCTCGCACCCACGGTATGCACTTTATATTCTGTGTCAGAATTTCTGCTTGTTTATAACGTTCCCACTAGGAACAGAAAGTGGTGACGAATGAAGTAATTGAAAGGGGTCAACTTACCAGCTGACGTAGATCTTCCTCGTTCTCACCCTCAACTAGCATGCTTTGAACGATTATCTCGTGCTTACGATTTTCCGGATGATAAAAATCAAATGGCAATAAAAATACTACACGCGTTGGTTTTACAGAATCAGCTCACCAGTAAAACGCGTGTTTTGTTGCGCGTCGATGCAACCATAGCGAGGCTTGAAATAATACAATGCGGGTTCAGTGGATTCCAGCTTGTAATGCACCTTAGATTTCATCAGATTCCTCAGCTGCATAGTGGCGGTTCCACAGGCTGCACTGCAGTCTGTGCGTTGAGGAACTGTGCAAAAGATTTTGCGTAATGATATGAGCAAAGATGTACAGCGTGAATAGGTGGCAACAAATTAAAATCATTAAGGTAACCAACCCGGAACTAGCAACGATTACGAGAGGGCTGTTCACCTACAGTTAATTCCATGTCGAATAGCGATGAATAGTAAACAATCTAACCGAAGACTAAAAGGTGAGCCATGAGAAAGTCATAAACATCGGTTGATTATTACAAGTCACGAATTGACCATAAAATTGGTTTGTCCGTGCGGAACAAGTAATGCATGTGGCAGACTTAAGTAAGTAGACACCTAGGTATTTTAGGACCACTGTAGTCATGGTCCAAGTTGTTGATCCGAACAAAATGCTTCAAGGCTTCGCCAAACAAGGTTTGACAAGTTAGATCCAATCTGGACTAAACAGTCAGTTTCATGAAATAATGGTGCTGATAATTTGTTGATGCTTGGCACGCACAAAATTGCAAAATGGCAGTTTTACTTGTACTAGTGACATACTGAGAACTCTGCAAAGTAGGTGAAAGACCTGCGCAAATCCAAGCTCATTGTATGAATGTCACAAAGGTTTGACGCATATCCGTCTTGGTACAGAATAGCTACAGCCTGGCAACCACGGACGAATAATCTAGACTTGCTAAAGATTCCTCTTCAGAGTAAGTCGCAGCTACGCTCTGGGCCTAAGGCTACACAGCTGAACAAATTGATTATGCAATGAAGCTAGTACACAAGTGTCACCCATCCGCAACCTGACAAATATCAAGCTCCACCAACCTCGGTAACATCCATCGTGAGAGTAAATATTTGGCAAAAGCTATAACGGCACAATGGAACACATCCGCAATGGCTTGAAGTCGTGGTTATAACTCTAAGTATGTATATATACGCGTCCGTTGCCACTGAGTAAAATGCAGGAGCAAAGTATATGCATGCAACAGAAGCAATCACGCAAGGCGCCAAAACTGCCCCATGTGCGCTTATTACTTCACCAAACCTCAGACAACCTTCCCTCGCAAAACGGTTATACTTATACGAGCTTTAGGTCTGCATCACACGAGTACCCAAAAAGACCTAATGGAGTGACGGTAGGAACGCCCAGTGTGATAATTCTTTTCTCCATATCTGTCCCAGTGATGCATTTTTGGGACGACTGTCACTCAGTAACAAGCGTTTTTAGTGAACACTTCATGGTTTTAACTACCATTTACAAAGAAAAGAAAGCAGGCTTTAAATCGCAAAAATCCGGTCGCAATGTAACACCGAAATTAGATTTGAGAGAAAGGAATTAGTCCCTAATTTTTATTGTTAATTTCCACCCAAATTTCCGAATAAGACGGTCATTTGGTGAATAATTGATTCCAATTATTCATCTTTAGACCAATGCAATCATACATTGGATAAAAAGAATTAAAGGAATATCGATCAAGTCTCTTAAATTTACAAGGGTAAAGGTGAACTGCGCGCTAATAAGTTAATTTCAAGTTGCGGAATTAGACCTGATGTAGTTTAACTCGGATTCTTCAGTTCTCGCTGGCCACGGAAACTAAAGTGCACGGAGTATAGTTTATTTTGCAAGCATAGGGTGGAGTCAAAATTCGAATGCAAATGGCTTTGCCTTGGCAATTGTACGGGGTCACTGACCTTTCGGTCAGTGCAGAGGAAACTTGTACACCATTAAAAGGCATACGCTACATTCACCGGGTGCCCAGTTTCGACGATATGGGCCAGAACGGAACTGCTAGTGACCCCCGTGCCACCGCGATGCAGCCGACGTGCGCAATGTTTTTCAAGCGTTTGTTGTTGCATCACAAGCTCACTCAAGCTGTTAAATAACCATGGAGGCGGTCACCATTTGCAATTTTCATTGTTTCTTGAACGAATCAGTGGTTCGATGAAAAACGCACATTTTGACGTGGCTGCGGTGAAACTCGACTTAACTACGGCTGCGACAATTCTAATGAAACTCTCCATAGCGACATCCCATTTGAAAACTAACCGTAATAAGAGCTGCTTCTGTGGCACTGTCGGCACCGGTATTGGCTTATGTTTATTTTGAAAATTGGGTGATATTTACCTGTCAAGGTATCCATTTTCACGCAAGGTATTATGTATGAAAATTTGATCAGCTTCAAGTGTGTCTTTCGAGTAGATTCGACGTGCTGTCTAGGTAAGCAACCGAGTTAATTTGCGCTTATATCTCAAAGGAACGTAACTGTGGAAGATAGTATACTGCGCAATCCAGGTAATTTTTCTCTTGACTTGCAGCTGGATGGAGCTATCTGGTTTCTTATTTAACAAGACACTACATGTGTACCATGCTTGCCATTCGTCTAGTAGTGTTCTCTTGGTTAATCTGGACTTATCCCTCCAAATGTTTGTCCTAACAAACACGGATCACAGGGCTATTTCCAATTGGTCCGTCTTTTTTGATGCAGGAACAACGACACGTTTGTACACCACAAAGAACGTCCTGGGCAGATTTTCGCCAAGTTTAGTTCTTGACCGTTACCTATATGAAATTCATCCGTATGCGGGACAAATAAATTTTTTCAGCCTAGCTGGAGATTTCCCAACGACTGATTCCCCCCAACACGACCAACCAACAACTTTTGATCCCCTATTGCATTTGCGTGATAAATCCCCAAATACTTTGACTCGTACTCATATTATGAACAATGATTAACCAAATAAGTTTGCCACTCTTGTATCGCTGAATGTTGCTCAAGCTGGCTACGCGAACTCCATGTCTTACTCGCTGTGTTATCCCAGCCAATACCAGGGCAGAAACGGCGAGGGACTCGTCTGCCAACCCACGCGTGACCACCACTTATATGTGGGCCAAACTGTCTATCTCACCGCATTAATCGATCTAAATTGTGCTATTGGTGCATTTTGTGTGGTTTAATCCTGCTCCCTCAGGCTGTCTTCTGATTGCCCCACCTATGTGCATGCGTTTAGTCACGCAGTTTATGCCTTGTCTTGCTTTGGAGCGGTTTCGCTCAGCATTTTGTTTTCATTCTTGTGCTTGCGCACATCGTTTGAGGTTTGTCATCTTTTGACATTTGTTGGGTCTTCACAGCACCGTAGTCAATTCTGAGTTGACTTTTGAATTATTTCGTGGATCCTGGGTCAGTACTGGTTCATGAAATTGTTTCCGCTGATCTGTGGTCTATTTCCGCCCTTGTTGAATTTGGACAATCGGAGACTGCGCGTTCCACTCAAGGTTCTTAAGCAATTTGACGCTTACAATCAGTGTCTATGAGCTACCGTTTGACAGAGCTACTCAAAGCTACCAGACAAGAGATAACTTAGTTCTGTGCACCACTGTATAACGAAGCTACGGCTATTTTGTCGTCTTACATTAACCACGGCGTTTCTATGTGCACTTTAACACAAGTGCTGGTTCATTTTGTACACATATGCGTAAATTACGCTCCGTTACCGAGTCATTGACACAACGATAGTTCCCGCTAAGGTAGACAACTGTGACAGCACAAACGGTGTGACTAGCTTGATCTAATAGTGCATACAAAACATCGGACCGTAGCTTGGAGACATTAGTCAACCGGACACCTAGTGAATATAAACCAAGGTCAATCGTAGCTCCGACAAATTGTTAATACAGGTCATCTTAGTAATCACTTGCTCGTTCTGTGCCAATTACTGCGACGTACAATGTAATCACAAAAAGCAACCAAAACGCTAGCATACGGAAAATAGTTTGTGGTCCTGTGATGCATGTTCAGATAATCCAATAGGACTGTTTAAAGATAGAAAGTGAGGTGTGAAAAGTTTGTTTTTACGTCAGCAGAGCAAAAGAAATTGATTACGTTTTGAGAGGGAAAATCTCTTAACTCAATTCGAAAGTTAGTGCATTACTTAAACCAACTCCTAGACGAATTAAAATGTGAAAGCTCTCTCGACAAATTACCACGCAGTTTAACGAAAAGCGAACAACATTGGTGACAAACAACAATTGAACGGTCTACAAATTCTTATAAAATGCTATAAGGCATCAGAGTCATGCGCAAATTGTACAATCACCTCCGATATTAGCAGGGCAGAGACACTTAACTCATAAAGATATTAGGATTAACGAGCTTCCACATGAAGTGTCTTGCAGTAACCTTGGCCTACCTTCCACCCCGGACAAAATAAGCACACCATGAGGGAAAATTCTTTTTCACTGGGAAGCGAAGAACAAGCAGTTTGTACTCAACTAAGAAGAGGAGAAAAACTGCTGGGATGAAATAACGTGCGCCCTCGGCCTAAAGGTTCTGTCAACTAGTCTTACACGCCCTTCACGCAATCAATCATCCCCGTACGTCGTACAATCTCAGTTAATACAAGTAACGTGTAAAGATACAAGAGACCTGGAGGATGTTATCTTAGCAAGCCACATTCTAGAGAAATATTCTGTCAGTGCCCGTATTTTTCCGTACAAACGAGGGGCAGAATGGCGGATGCGGAAATCCAACTCGAGCGCGATATATCAAGATGGAATGACGAAATTGATACTACTTCATGTTGTGCCAATATTAAAGCATGACGATAAGCTTGACCAAAGGATATTGAATTGTGGAGGTGCATCACGTAGCTCTATACCATGCAAAATGTGATAGTTTTGACGTCACCCGTCTACTTGCTGCCATAAACTACCACGCCAGCCATGCAAATATTTTGAAGTTTACTTTGACTACTCCCGAGATGGTAACAATGGCGATCTAGCTT